CAGAGAGCGGTGCTGTGAGCACTGAATGTTCCCTTCGGGCATGCGCAGTTCGAGTAATTATACCAACAGTCACACCTGTGACAGCGGAAGACCACTCAGAAGCTATATAGCCTGGTGTCATCCTTTGTTCTGCTCCTACAGAATCTTCTCGCAAAAGCAAGGATTCTGAGTGACAGAGAAGCTCTGGCGGTCATCCAGGATTCATAGAACCGTAGTTACATACGTAACTCTCGTTCTATTTCATCCCTACTGACCGCCAGAGGGCAGTGCTGAAAGCACTGAAAGACTAATGCCGACGATGTCACAAGGAATCCTGAGCACATACCTCACTGAGGAGGCCCAGCAGAACCTTGTAAAAGGACCTGACCCAAGGGAGGAGGGGCAGCCACATTGACACTGTAGAACCTGGTGAAGGTGGTTGGGGAAGCCCATGAAGCAGCAGCACATATTGCTTCTAGTGGAACCCCTCTCAAAGCCACCCAGGAAGCGGAGACACTCCTGTTGGAATGTACTCTCACACCGACTGGCAGGGAGCAGTGACCTGCAGCATAGGCATGGCAGATGACACTCACAACGCTGTTTAGAAAGAGGACAGACTAACCTTGCACCCCCATAGCATAGGAAAAGGTGGTCCGAGCGTCTCAGATTAGCGGTGGCTGCAAAGTATGCCTCCAACGCTCTTACTGGGCACAACAACTCAAGACTCATTCTCAGTTGCACCTGGCTGAGGCTGAAACTGAGCCAGCCGCAATGGCTGGTTACGGTGAAAAGGAGACGATACCTTAGGCACAAACCCAGTATTGGGCCACAGGGTAACACCAGAGCCATCTGGAGCCCACCTGATACACATAGGTCTGACAGAGAGAGCATGTAGCTCGCTGACCCTCTTAGCTGAGACCATAGCCATCAGGAAAGCAGTCTTGCAGGAGAGCCACTTGAGTTTGGCTTGTGACAAAGGCTCGAATGGATGGTGGCACAGAGCTGCGTGAACCAATGGCAGATCCCAATCTGGGGCTCATGGAGCCGGCCGCTGGCATAACCTACGAGCACCACGTAGAAAAAGTGAAACCAGTTCATGGTGCCCCACTGTACGGTTGTCGACAGATTGGTGAAGACATGAAATTGCTGCAACATACACTTTAAGGGTTGAAGGACAGCGGCCCTTATCAAGGAGAGACTGGAGGATCTCTAAGATAGTGGGCACCGAGCAGGAAACCGGGTTCTCATTGTGGGCAGAGCACCACTGAGAAAAGAGGCGCCATCTGTTAGCATACTCCAGCCGAGTGGAGGGCGACCTAGCACTCAATATGGTGTGTCTCACGGTGTCTGAACACCCAGTAAGCCTCCCAGGGGCTATGCCCAAAGCTGGAGACGTTGAGGGTTGGGGTGCCATATCTGTCCTCCCAACTGAGACAGCAGATCCCACCTTGCTGGAAGACGCCATGGAGTACCGTGACACAGACTCCAAAGCACCGGGAACCACGGCCACGCTGGCCACAACGGAGCTACCAGCAACACTCTGTGGCCCTGCTCGAGAACCCACCGTAGAGTCGGCCAAATCAGCGAGAGGGATGGAAAGGAATACAGGAGAACCTGCGGCCATGGATGAGCCAGTGCGTCCTGGCCCAGTGCGCCCGCCTTCCCAGTCAGGGAATACCACAGGGGGCAATGGGTCTACTCCCCTGGGGCGAACAGATCTACCTCTGCCTGCCCAAAGAGGTTCCAGATTATGTGCACTACGTCGCATAATTGGTGAAGAGACCACCCTGGAGCAGGTGCCTGGCAACCTGGTTCTGCCGTCCTGGCAGATACGCTCCGCGCAGGGTACCCAGACGTCCATTCCAGGAGATCTCTCGACACCTTCAAGAGACCTGCTGACCTTGTGCCTCCTTGGTGGTTTATATGATAAACAAAAGAGATGTTGTCTGTTCGAATCAGCACATGCCTTCCCTCTAGGTGGGGCATAAGGCACCTGAGGGCCATGTGCACAGCCAGCAGCTCCAGCACATTTATGTGTTCGGTGCGCTCCCTTGGGTCCCAGAGACCCCAAACATCTCTGTGTTGCCACACGTTACCCAAGCCCATGAAGCTGGCATCCGTGGTGACCACTTGCCTTCGACACACCACCAGTGTCCTGAACAGTTGCAGAGAGGGCTAACATGATGTGCGCCAGGGAATTGCAAAGGCGGCCAGCACACGCTCCTGCATTGTACGCCTTACAGAGGAGGTCATCTGTAACCCGACATTGAGTCCGCAGGCACTGGACATCAGGACGCAAGGCTTCATCTGGTGACACAATCAGTGAAACAACAGCGGGTTAAATTGCTGGCATACGGTCCAGTGCCGGCCTTCACCGACTCATGCTTGGCAGCTAAAAGGCGACTATCTTAGGAGAGACGTGACAACTCTCTCGGTTCCCGCACTCGGTTCCTGCTCTCGGTACACACTCCCCTCTCCGGGAGAGGGGCACAGATGCCGTGGTCCCATCACGGCACTTAGAACGCCTGGGGGGAACCACCTGCCCAGAGGGCGGAAGGTCCGAGCCCTTCAGCGGGCACGACTGAGCCAAACGAGCCACCCTCACTGCATGGGGCATAAAGCTGCAGTTCATGCAGGGGTTCTCAGACAGCACCTCCAAAAGGTGCTCATGTCCAAGGCAGGTAGGGCACAGGTCTTGGCCATCCTCTGCCTGCAGGGCAGCCCCACAATCCATGCAGCTGTGAGAGCCATCCATGTTGAAGGCCGACAAGGCTTTAAGAACAAAAAATTATCTAAAATCGGGAGAGGGGGCGCAAACGCAGCCGTCACCAATTATAGCAGAGAAACGAAAGAGGCTGTGAACACAAGGCAGCCGATAGTGGGAGAGGGGGCGAGAACCACTACCGTCACCAGGTATAAAAACCAATAAACCAAAAAAGCTAACAAGCTGTATGGTAACTTAAGTTGGGAGTAGGAGCGAAAAACGCTGCTGTCAGCAATTAAGAGAGCAGACCAACGAAAAGGGTGCAAAAAAGGTTGATATTGGGAGAGGGGGCGAAAAACACTGCGGTCACCATTTATAACAGAGTGGACCAACGAAAAAGGCTACAAACAAACCAAAAAAGGCTAACAACGTTAGCCGTCTCCAACTTCGGTAAGTGAAGCTGACCACACTTGGTTGGGAGAGGGAGCGAAAACTGCTGCCGTCACTGATTATAAAAGCGTAGCCTGGTGAAAAAAAGGCTGCAAGTAGGGCATATACTGGGAGAGGGGGCGAAAACCGCTGCCATCACCAGGTATAACACCAACAAACTAAAGAAGCTAACTACGTTAGCCTTATATAAGTTCGGCAGTGAAGTTGTTCACACGGGGAGTAGGGGCGAAATCGCTGCTGTCACCAGTTCAAAACAAAACAGCACGAAGCTGTACATAAAATGTTAAGAAAAAGCCGTGAGCTGCGACAGGGGGCGCGGACGCTACCATCACCATCAAACAAACTAACTAACCTTCCGTAATCTTCAGAATCGACCCGTTGCAGCCCTGGGAGGGCGGAGAATAACCGCAACTCCAGTCAGCAAGAGACAGGGGCTTTAAACAGCAGGGAAGCTAGCGAACCGCTTGTGAGGAGAAAAAAGGAGCAGAGCAAAGGATGACACCAGGCTATATAGCTTCTGAATGGTCATCCGGTGTCACAGGTGTGACTCTGTTGGTATAATTACTCGAACTGTGCATTTACCGAAGGGAACGTTCAGTGCTTTCAGCACCGCCCTCTGGCGGTCAGTAGGGATGAAATAGAACCACTCAGAGTTGAACACGTGAGTGACAAGTATGAAAAGCCATTGTCAATGGAGCCCCAATATGACACCATGACAACAGGAAGTGCCTATTTCACTCCACTAGAACTAGAGATTTTAATTAAGAGAAAAATAGCACTACAGCTGCAAAGGAGAGGAGGATGGAGAGGAAGATGGCGAAGGAGAATCTTGTT